AGAGCGTTGCCAGCAGGTTGAGGGAGGCAATCCTTCCCCTCTATTCAGCACTGGTGAGGCCACACCTGGAGAGTACTCGGTCCAGTTCTGGGCTCCCCAGTACAAGACAGATGGAGCTACTGGAGACAGTCCAACCAACGATCACTAGGATGAATAAGGGACCGAGTATCTCTTCTATGAGGAAAGGCTGAGAGAGCTGGGACTCTTCAGCCTGGAGAAGAGAAGGCTCAGTGGGGGAACCTCATCAATGTGTACAAATACCTGAAGGGAGGGTGCAAAGAAGAGGGAGCCAGGCACTTTTCAGTGGTGCCCAGTGACAGCAATGACCAGCAGCAATGGGCACAAACTGAAACACAGGAGGTTCCCTCTGAACATCAGGAAACACTTTTTTACTGTGAGGGTGACTGAACACTGGCATGAGTTGCCCAGAGAGGTTGTGGAGTCTCCCTCCTTGAAGATATTCAAAAGGCATCCGGACACAGATGCAGCCTGCTCCAGGTGGCCCTGCTTGAGTAGGGGGGTTTGACAAAATGACCTCCAGAGGTCTCTTCCAACCTCAGTCATTCTGAGATTCTGTTACTACAGCTCAGCTGACATGCAGCAACACGTACACGCACTGTAACATGAAGATGTCAGTCCTTCAGATCCTACCTTTCTACTCATTCCTGTCTAGATAAGGAAAGGCTGGTCTATACTTGGAAGTGTAACAGCTAGAATACAAGGGTGTCTTACAAGAGCGATGGCAGAGTTGCAGCTGACTTTCCTCATTATGCATGACAATACACTGTAGCAGCAGCCATGTGGCTAAAAGAGACATTTTGTACTCTGAAATGTACCTATAAGAGAATTGGAACACTTGAAAAGCACAGATCTTTCCCAGAGCATTTCTTTCATAAATATTACAATTTACATCTTACTCAAAGCATCCTTTCTGAATTCAGAAACTAAGGGAACTCAAGGTGACACAAAAGTAGCATTTGTAATCCACTAGCAAGATTCTATTTTCTGGATATATATTGCACTAGATCTAATCCAAATAAGAAGTTATGATGTTAGAGTGCACTGCTTCCCTGAAACTAGAAGTATGATTTAGGGCTTGTATATACACAGTGATTTCATTACTTTTACTTACACAAAATGCTACCTATATGTCAGATCCTCATTCTGTTTTCCAATATTTACTTGAATAAATTCTTGAAGGACAGGTCTTGACACCTTACCTGTGTTTTTACTAATTCACAGACAACACAAGGAAGGGATCATACTACTTTAATAACACAATACCATCTCAAAACACCAATGATTACTCAGTCTTCTGTAACTGCTCTTATTTCTTTCCCAAACACTGGTTTCAAAACCATAAATCACATACTACTACATAACTACTACAGCTAGAAAGTTAGCATGCTGAAGTAAGAGCTCTCAACTTTCAGAAAGATAAGTTTGTAGTGATGTATATTTTTATGCTCAATCTTCCCCTTTCCCCTCTCCAAAACTAAATTGAACAAATGGCTTAGCCAAAGTAAGTCAATCAATCATGTGAAAGATTTTATACTCCTCCGAAAGAAACTCTTTTGCCTCAGATAACCTGCAATAATTACTTGTAAAGAAAAAAGATATCGAAAGCTTGCTGAGGGTATATGCTCTACAGTGACAAGCATTTGATATAATTAGGCAGATCTAATTCACAAAGGAAAAGCTGTAAGTAACCTGAAACGAGACTTAACAGAGCAGTACTTTAATTTGTTTTTTGGCTTCTTAATGCTGATATGCAAGGAAGTACACATGCAAATACAGTAATCAGTAGTCAGATCCCGCAGAACTGGGACTGCTTCCACTTCACACCATGACCACAGTTCACATCAGAATTCTGTATATCACCATGAGCTGCTCTGGCACCTTACAGAGGCACAGGCGGCTGCTTTCAGTGGTAAGTACATACTGCAGCAAAACCAACACACGATATATGGAAATGTTTGCTCAGTCTGGTTTTCTGGTGACCGATTCTGTCATGAATATTGCGAGACAGATCACTAGGAATGAGCAAAGTAGTTTGCACTACAATGTACGTGTTTGCCACTTTAAAATAGTTCAAATAGGACAATGTTCACTAAAATGTTCTGATCGTATTTAACTGTATCAAAACAGAGATTATGCCAGAGCATTGAAGCATTTGAATCACCTACAGAACTTAAAAGACTAAGTCTCATTGATGTGCAGTGAGACAGATTACTATACGATGCCTGAGATTCCAGAGGTTCCAGCCCTCCAATTAGGAAAACAGCAAAAATTCCAGCTTCAGCTTTTCATTTCTGCCATTTGAGTACATATAACTGACCTGATATGAGAATGTCAGTACGTGGCAGTTGATAGATGACTAGTAAAGTCATACTAAAGGAAAATATGAAAGGCTAATAAAAAGGCATAAGTAGGCCATTGAAAGGAATCGCCTGTTGACGAAATAAGGACATTAAAAAACAAATCCTGTAGCAAAGGCTGAATGCCAGCATCATTACAAATCATTTACAAATTTGAGTGACATCTGAGGTTTAATGCACAATGGAAAATACTTTTTGGCTATGTTTATTATGCTTATCTAGTAGTCTTTGATTTGGTTTTTACAACAAAAATAACTTACATTTTGAGTCTGTCTGCATGGCAACCAGCTGGTGTAACAGTGGTTCATACCGATAAGTGATGCCAAATGAAAGACCTGGCTTTACGTTCACCTGCCTATGGTTAGAAGAAGACTAGGTTCAGCTACTCTAAAGGAGAAAACCTCCTATTCATAACACTTGCAGACTTCATCTTGCTGGCTCAGAGGAACAGAAGCTTGAGTTTCAGAAGTAACTGCCTGCTTTCCTAACAGAGAATAAAACACAAGTCATAAAGTAAGGCATGACAAAAAAAGTTCTATTTTCATTTAAAAAAACAAGGAAAACACACACATATAGCACATGCACATTCACTCTGTTTTACCTACCATAGATTCACTAATAAGCAGCAACAGTAAGGCTTCTTCTGTATTTTCTTGAGGACAAAAGATGCTGTTCAAAACAAGAATTTAATTATTTAAGCAGAAGACATTACTTTTAGAAGTAGCTTACACAAATACAGTAAGAGTACTGTAAAAACTGGAAAATTTCCAGAAAAGAGAACAGGGCATAACTTGCATAGAAAAAATGATTGGTTAAAATGCATTTCCTTGCAATGCTCTAAATTTGCACTTCAGAAAAGTTGGCCAAACACAATAAGAGAACAAAACCACCACAGCTGTCAAGAGTTGAACACATTCAAATATCCCAAAATGGCACATAATTTGACAACTGTAAAAACTGTACCCATAGTTTAACTAGCCTCTGGCACCTAATCTATCTGAGCTCAATCTACATCACTGATTCGAAGGTCGGCAACAAGAAACTCTCTCACAAGAACAAGATAACTTTTGTATTTTAGGCAATATGTGGATAAATACTATTAGTCTTTCAGCAGATATGCTTGAGAATTGTTTTCCTGATGCATTCAATAGCTGTGAATATTTTTAAATAGAGCCATGGCAATCTCTGCCTCCTTGCCATAACCACTGTTACTTCCAAGCACTCAAAATATTTGTTTTTAATGAAGTACACTTCCTTACGACTTAATACTGAAGGTTTGCACAGGACTAGTTTGCAAACTTTACTGCTTTCTCTGAACACTGGATGCTTTCTGAATACACAAACAGTAATCTGCATCGGGTACATGACTGGTAGGAATTCATTCATTCATTCTCTCTCACATACACACACAAACAGTGACTGTGTTTTAACTCCCCAGATTTCTTTCTCTAAACTGTTTCTGAATTAGCACACGTACTATTTCCTGTTTTCAGACCAACAGTTCCACAACTAACTGTTTAAATGTAGAAAATAATTTCTTGTTGTTAACAAGCAATTCCTATAGTCCCAAGGGTGCTTAAACTACAGTAAATTACAGACAGGAAACTAAACTTGTCTGAGATTAACAGGTCTTTCGGGGTTTTTTAAACGCTTAGAAATTTAAGCAGTTATTAAATGTCGAAAAGGTAACGGAAACTAAAACACATCTGAACTCCCGGCGGTTTGAAAGCAAGATTGTGAATGTACTGTGGTAATACACAGCAGCTAAGACACCAGGGCAGTTGTTTTGTTGTTGGATTTTTATTTTTTAATCAATGCAAGTTGCTCACAAGACTTTGAAGAGTATTCTAAATCTTAGAAGACATTTTTATTTTTACTTAACAAAGAAATTTCAAAACACAGTTACTCGTGAATAAAAACCACCCAGGACAGGGAATGAGGGGTGAAGAGGAAGCATCAGAGAGCTCCCCATTTACCTATCCAGTCTTTAATGCAGAATTTAGCAATCTGGAAGTAGATTTAACCTAACCAGCTGGCAATGATTACAAGAAAGCAGAATAACGATTGGGAATAGTTGCTGGAGAAATTATTTCCTCGGAGAAAAAAGGGAAGTTGCCCCAAAGAGAACTACTACAAAGTCACTTATCAAACGAAAGCAAACGTTATTTCCTCCTACAACTTTGAATATATTTTGGTAAATAAGTTGATGTTTGTCTCAAAAAGTGAAGATCCTCTTCACGCAGAAATTACTGGGAAATTCCTGTGACTTGTGTATGCAAAAAGCTCAATTTAGTTGACTGAACTCAGACATTTTGTGTCTCCTGACAGATGCAGGCATAGGAGTAAAGTAATTCCAAGGTAATGGCAGAGCAAAAGAGGCAACTGGAAGCATGAAATGGCTACCAACCAAAGGCAAACCAAGAAGTTTAACAGTTCTTCAAGTGAGGATAAAGAAAACTGAAGAGGCAGTAACAGAGAGATGTACAAAATCATACATTTTGATTGATACAATTTGGTATTAGCCAAATCACATTTACCATGCTCGAAAGAACACAGTACACTTACTTAATATATCAGGCAGCATATTTAGAAAAAAACAGTACATCTCAGACTCAGAGTTGGTGGTCAGATGAATACGTGGGAAGAAGTTTCCTACATGCCTGTCTTGCTATTCATTATCTTAGGTATTTGCTTTCAATCACTGCTGGAGATGAGATACTTGGCTAGACATGTTTTATCTGATTTGGTGTTAATCACTCTGATGTGACAAAAGAAAAGGACTTAATTACATGCTTGGTTGGAATTGTGGAACTCCTCCCTTGCATGTCCCAAGAATAAGAAAATTACACTGAACAAAGCCCCACTTTTGCTAGGAGGCACGTTTCTACAAAAGGATGAGTTGAGAATGAAGAACACAAGTTTGAAAGATTGAGCCTGAGAAACCTCCTGTAAGTATTCTGGATCAAGGAAGGAGAATTGCTAGAAATCTTTGAAGATAAAGGCCATTCTACTTGCTAGCAATAATGACACCATAATTATGTGGGCTTACTGCTGTATAAGGTATTCATTAATGGAAATCTGCAATAAATGCAGCTAAACAACTCAAATGCCTGCAGTATGACAGTATTTTAGGTTACAATATAAAGATACTGCGAACACTAAAACAAAACACCTCTTCAGAATTTACGGTAGGACTACTTCTATAAGCAATCCACCACAGAAGCAGACTCTTTTGCACGTAACAACAAGGTCACATTATGGAAAAAAGCTTTCATATTAACTAACAAGGCATATATACTGTAAGAGAGGAACAAGACCGTTCTTTAGGATTTGCTGTGTGAAACCAAGTAGTTTGAATGAGAAAATGTGTGACACTGCATAAAAGAGATTTCCTCATGTTTGGGCAATAAGTGTGTACTGTTTAGGTGCAGTGATCAAGGTGTATCCACAAACCAGGTACTTACTTTTTACCAAAAAGGTTGCCTGCATGTACAGTTTGTTAATTATGTACTTGCAGACAAACATAGTAGTCATTTTGGCAAACTGAATGTTCAACTCCATGCCTGTTTTTTCTCCTAAAGCTTAAAAGACTGCTTTTTAATGACTTCATATCATAGACATAGTCAGACAAGACTGAAATTAAAAAACTCACAATGCCTGGGTTTTAATCCTACAGCTGGACAACAATATTAAATCATAATCATAATTTGTTATCATCATTATTATCATTATCATTTCTTTGGAGAAAAAGGGTCAAAAATTTCACATGGAACAGACAACAGTCTCCTCAAGAGATTCCCAGATCACACCGATTTCACAGGATCACAGAATAGTTGAGGTTGGAAGCGGTGTCTAGGGATCACCTAGTACAGCCCCTCCACTCAAAGCAGGGACAACTGGAAGGTTGCTCAGGACCACATCCAGTTGGATTTTGAATATCTCCAGTGATATTCTCCAGACTCCACAACCTCTTCTGTAATTTGTTTTTCTTAAGTTTACATGGAATTTCAATCTTCGCCATCTCCATTAGTTAGCACTGTCCTACTATGGCACATCACAATCTTGGCTAGCTCATTATGTCCACTGCTATAATGTATTTCTCAGTTCTCTGGCTCACAGTGCTTTCCAGGATGTATCAAAACAAGCCAGCAATAGCTGTTGACTATATTAAATACATATATACAAAATACAAGATCCCACAAGGACTTGCATGTAGAATACAAGTAGAGCAGTGCAAAGGTTGCAGATTATGTAAAACAAGCATGCAGCAAAGTTTCATCAGATCAAACTTAGTATCAATGAAATAAAAAAAATAACTTAAAAAAGATGGTGCCAAATGGTTAAGATTTCACTAGTATGCTTTGACACAAGCAGGTTACTTTCAGGCAGTAAACTACACCCAAGGACTGTAATAAAGTGCAAAACTTTGTCAATATATATTTTTGGCACTGTCAGAGTGTGTCTAAGGAAGACAACTTTACCTTAGAAACCATTTTTCATTGGATCAGATACCAACAAAAAACAAGCTATTAACTTTTAAGAAAAAGTTCAAATTCAAGGAAATGGCTATCCACTTCTAATGCTAATACTAATGGTGATGGGTTTTGAAAAAAACCCACACGTTTTCAAGAAGGAAAAGATACACACCAAAGCTACTCTAGAATTAACCATGGAATACGCTACACAAAAATGATCCATAGCATGCCACTTATCCGAATCAGTGAAAGAATAAAACTCAATAAAAGGTGGCATCATAGAGAAATGCCAAAACTAACCTAAGAAGATTAAAAAGTAGATGCCTTGGGAAATAAACTACCTTTGAAACTGCTAGATAAATTGCTAGATATGTTTTGGTTTTTTATTATGTTTCAAGGATGAATTTGAATCTCCATATTGCTAACTCTTTCCTTTGTATGATAAGGCAGAATAGAGGTCTAGAAACAGCACACAACTTTTAAAATGTGCAGCCTCAGATTTGCCACCCAGTTCATGTTTTCTTTTGTATCCCAGGTATAATATGAGATAGTGACTCTACCATTTATCCAAGTATAGAACAAAAAAAAAAAAAAATATGTTGAGAACTGGGAACAAAAGGTCTCATGCATACAGTGCAAACTTCTGCTTGGAGAAGCATGTTGCTTCCCTAGTTCTCCTCAGGGAATATATATATACACACACATTGCCATTCACATTGCCCAATTCCTTCCACATTTTCAACAATATAAACTAAATTACCCAGTGCACTGGGTAACAATTGCGATTATAGAAACAAGAGACGTATAAACTCAGACATACTTTTCTCCAGTGTATACCCGCGGTCTTCTACTGAGTGCGTAAGTCTTAGTATTTGAACCTTTTCGAAGTGGATCATCTAGGGGTGATTGGTGAGGAGGATCTTCCAGTGGATTCCAATAACTCTGTTCACACATGCCTCGTAACAAAATTTCAGCCAGTTGTCTTGCTATTGTCTGTAAAAGTGAAAGACAGAATAGACTATTTCAGTTGGAAGGGACCTACAATGATCATCTAGTCCAACTGCCTGACCAATTCAGGGCTGATCACGTTAAAACATGTTGTTAAGGGCATTGTTCAAATAAATGCCTCTTAAACACTGACAGGCTTGGGGCATCGACCACCTCTCCAGGAAGCCTGTTGCAGTGTTTGACCACCCTCTCGGTAAAGACAAATATTTTCCTTAGAAATGCTGAATACAAACTCTTCAAAAACACGTGGATTATTTCTAATGAAGACAAGTCATGTAGAATATATTTTGTTATTTTAAAACACCCAAAAACCAGGCATACTGCTGTTTGACAGGTGCAAGTACCCAGTTCAATTGTCTAAACACAAAGAAAACAAATGTCAATAACAAACAATTTTTGAATTTTATCACTTAAATCCAGATACTTCTGAAGTATCGACAACACCAACAGTAACTCCTAAGAGTGGAGTACATTCAGGTATATTTTCAGATATTTTGTGCTCAATAACCTCTACTGCCTCTCCAGGCCTGGAGCAGATGTTTCCGTGGGAGAGAGACCACAGTGGAGCAGATGTCTACACTCCAGCCTGATGAGAGGACCATGGTGGAGCAGGTTGATATTCCCTGAAGGAACTGCAGCCCATGGGAAGGACCCCACACTGCAGCAGGGAAAAAGTGTGAGGAGTAAAGGAGCAGCAGAGAGGAACTGTTATGGACTCACCACAACCTTCCACCCCCCATGCACCACTCGGGGAGTGGGAGGTGAAAGAGTCACGAATGAAGGACTGAAGTTGAACCTGGGGAACCGGGGTAGGGGGAAGGTGTTTTAGTTTTTGTCTTTGTTTCTCACCATCCCGCTCTCTTTTAATTAACAATAAATTAAGTTAATTTCCCCCAAGTTGAGTCTGTTTTGCCCGTGACTGTAACTGGTAAGCAAACTCCCTGTCTTTACCTCAACATAAGCTTTTCTATCTTATTTTCTCCCCGTCGTGTTAAGGAAGGAGAGTGAGAGAGCAGCTGGGTGGGTATCTGGCAGCCAGCCAAGGTCAACCCACCACAGACAGTTATAGTCCAAACCCTAACTGAGTGGGGCTTCTCACAACTTGTACTTGAAGATGCTGGTGTTTACTATTGTTGGTAACGCTCAGCAAGAGTGAAACGAGGTTGTAGATCAGCATGAAAAAGTTTATTTTGACCAGCTGTTCTTGGCACCGTATATTTAACTGTAGAAATACTTACATAAATATTATTTAAGTAAATAATAATAATTTAAAGCTTTGAAGTCATCCTACAATCCATAACTATCAGGGGTATCTCCTCTTTAATACATACGCATACAAGCTGCACGACTATATATCACAGTGATGAAAACTCAGAGAGATTAGTACCAGGGCAGTAGAAAGAAGGCAAGATCTACATTTACATCAGAATTGGCAGTATTTCCCAGCAACATCTCCCAGCAAGAGATGTGTAATATTAAGGCACAGACAGCACCATATGATCTGCATCTTCCACCTTAACTCCTGTACCCTAAGAAGCCCTTCGTCTTTTATTCTATTAAAGTTTGCAAAATTATCCCTCTCCATTGAAAGTCTGTTTTTTAATAATTTTAATATCCCTACTAGGAATCAGTCATTAAATGAATTAATAAACCAATTACCTGCCTTATTACCACTTTGGAATTTTTAAAGGCCTAGTATTAGGAAACTAATCTAGGACATTCTGAAAATCATCACATTAGAGCAAAAGATATAAGCCTTGGCCCTTTATTATAGAAAAGATGCAAAAAAGATACATCACTCATTTGGTAAAGGTTTATTTTCTGACAAAATAAATAACAAATCTTCATGATTTTGCTTTTATTGTTCCTTTAAGAGGTTTTATCACAAAAATAAAGAAATGATAACTTGATAACTTTCAACTTAATAGAACACACATAAAGATACTGCACTGTGTCCTCACTTCCATTACATTACAGAAAGTTAAAACAACACCCTTGTGAAACTATGGTAAGTCATAAATAGGGCAATTATGATTAAGGTTGTAAGTATGGTCAGTCAGAGACCAATCAGGTTTTAACCATAACCAGAAGCAGAAAAGAGAAATAGGGGAGAGACCAGGTATCAAACACTCCTTTTTATTTTAATCATTCACTTAAGCCAGGAAATGTAACCTTATAAAGTGGCAGATAAAAGATCTTGATCAACATGCTGTGTATCAGATTATTTGCCTCTAACTCATCCACTACATTTATGCTTTACCTGCATACTAAAATCCAGATGCTGCAATAGGAATGTGGTTTAATATAACTTACCATTCGCAGATTTTGTGTAGTTCTTGTTTCGACAGCTCTTAGTAACTCTCTAAATCTACCAACTCCTCTCGTCAAGTTCCTGTATATAAACATAGAATTTGACAGTATTCCAACTTGGATGTAGTAACACCTTAATATATTACTCAATAAAATTTTTAAAATCCATGCTATCATTTTTTTTCTCCTGCATATCATCATCGCCTTTCTGAGAGACAGATTTTTTTTTCCATTCATCTGGGAACCCCACCACTGATTACTATAACAACATTCCCTGCCAGTTTATTTAAAAAAGAAATATTTTCATTATCAGTAGATAGCTCAAGAGAAAGCAAGGAAAAGTGTAAGAAGTGACCACCCCGAAAAGGGAAAAAACAAAACTGAAGTTGTTCTCGCTACTACAATGGTTTTAATTTTCAATTACATTAGGCTTCAAAGTATAAACTTTGGAAAAAAAAAAATTCCATTTTAAATGCCTCTTGATACCTTACAATAGGGAAATAAAAAAGGAGTAAATCTCATAATCCTCAGTGAAAATAATGTAAAATTTTAAACTCCTTTTCAGAGAGGAAACAGCACAAACATAGCAAGGCCCACTGTGTGGCCAGAAGAGGACCGGGGGATCAGTGTTCTGTTCTCGACTCCAGCTGGCTTTTGATGTGGCTTCTGCAACTCAAGTTTCTTTGTCTATCTTCTTCCACTTCTGCTGCCTAAACAGCTTTTGCAGAGAGATTGAAGACCCTCAGAGAGGAGGCATCATTCATGCTAACAATCTTAGCAGATCTGAACTTTATTCTCAAATGATAGATTATTTTGAATGGTCTTACAGCTTTATCTTTTTCTTATCATTATATCAGTTATCTCAGCTGGTTTTTTTTATTGCACTTAAAAGCAGTTGAGAATATTTAATTTTCTATTAATACAGTTTGTCTTTGAACTGGTGAAGGACTTGGTTGGCTTTTTGCTGAGCTGAACAACCCAATTCTGCAACCCCAACACATAACATAGGACAGTCATTTTGCTATTTGAAATTTAGTTGCAAAACAAAATGATTTGATCGAAAGCGTGCTTTGTGTTAAATCATTGCTGTTATGTCATATAGTTGTATTATCTTTATGTGCAAGTTGCATAACGTTTACCTAACATGGACTCAAAAGAGAAAAGGAATATTATATATTGTGCAAGCTTTTCATAAGTAAAAGCACAATTGCACTGCACTATAAAGCTGATGTTGAAATTGCCTTCCTTACTCTGATGTCTTTATTTACAAATATATTTAAAAGTCTGATCTTCTGAATTGCAAATTTGTAGAAATTCAAAAAAAGCCAGCATTTTTACAGATACCTTCTTTAAATTTAGTTGCAGAATACCTGAAACCAGAGTGTTTGATGAAGAGATCTTGCTATAGAACTGCAGAACTCATCACTTTACCTAGAGACCTACTCAATTATTTTACTCTTCAGATTACATGACAGAGGTCATCTCTGTTCTGTTTTATGTAATAAAGGATTACCAGCATATTTCAGAAACTTTAGTCTCCAGCACAGACTTTCACTAGCACAAGTTCACCTTCTAAAATACTTTTATATAAAAGCTCATTTAAAAAGAACTCGCATTTCCAAATAACAAAACCTGTATGAACAGGTTGAAAGTTATGTCAAAGTATGCCACCATACTTTATGGTTACATACACATGGTTAAAAAGAAATAATCACCAGTCACATAAGAAATAATGATTGTTTGTAAAAAGGCCACGTTACAGCAGAGCTTGACCACAGAGTGACCAGTTAATACATATCAAAGGAAATTAATCTTCTGTATACATCTAACATGGAAACAACTGCATGAAAGATTATATTTATTTATATATTTCACACAGGCAGGCCTCTTAATAGCTAATGAATATTACACCAACTTCATATACTAATCAAGTAAGTACAGAAAGTCAGTAGGCCAAATTTTAAGAAAACCTCTGAACTCAATGTAAGCTGGATACTTTCAGCACCTTTGGAAAGCCAAAATACATACCATTCAGTAATACCACATGCCAAATATTTTAGAGAGCCAAAACCAGACCACTGGAATCCCAGCTTTAAGTCCTCTGCTCTAAGTGCATATTTCCCATGAATGGAGCTTTCTCTCAAGGACTGTATTGCAAAGTTACAGATGTGTCCTCATAAAAAGATTTAAAAAACCACACACAGACTTGCTAAAAACCTCAAATGTTCCCTGTAAAATTGTCAAAAAAGAGCAAAAGCAAGAACTTGTCAGCTTGAAACACTAATTTCCCAGTACAGATGAAACATAGACTATGTAGTAGAACTTCAAATCACAATAATTTAAATGTTTATGAAATTTTAGGAATTAGCATTTTTTTCCATATGGAGTTTGTGTCTTTTGATGTGTTACGACAGCAACAAAAAAAATCTGCTATGAAAAAGTATGCAACTTTTAAAAGTCCTTAAGAACTTCACGACAGGTTGTTATTAGTTACCTATTACATTTTATAAGCATCTGCAAGGGACTGAAACTTGTGACTGAAGTTCTACCGTATCATGGAAAAAGCAGTGAGATTGCACAGAAAAAAAACAAACTTAAAATACATAATTAGTTTTTGCTTCATAAAGCATTTAACACTGATCCACTGCACAAGTGAACACAAACACCATACAGATTTGTCGAGCATCTTCTACATGAAGTATACTAAAAAAAAATACACTTCAAAACTACAATCTAAATCACCCAAAAATTGAGTTAAATGCTTTGAGAGTCAAGTAATGAAGCAAAATATACCATGAACAATATGGTAGATCTCCGCACTGCACTGCTTTTAGCAAAGTACATTTCCTGTATTTGTTAACAGTTTGTAACATTGGGGAGAAGAGGGTGGCGACTATTCTGGCACATACTTTTCCTGCCTAGCTTACGAAGCACACAACTTTTACCTGCTTTTCACTATGATGTGCCTTCATGTTAGCAGTTCCACCCATGCTGATCAAATGCCAGAGCAAAAGGGCAGGTTAACTTAGAAAACAATGTCCCACAGTGTCTGTAAATGACTTTGAGATCCCTTCCGTTCTCGAGACAAGGAATTTTAAGGTACATTAACATGCACTCAGAGATGACACATTTTCAGTAATTTCAGGCAAGACAGTCCACAGACAGACACTGCTAGTTACATATGTGTGTTTATATGACTGCCTCCCATCAGAATATGCTCAAGTCAAGCCCTTTGAATTGCATCTTCCTAGTTTTTAAAGACTAACTGAAATGTTTGCTGCTTTAAAGCTTCAAGAAAAAAAAACAACCTACTTTGACTCTTTAAGTAGCACTACACCAGTTAAAGACTAAGAACCAGGAGTTAAAGGTACAATCTGTTATTGAAAGTCTATACATTGATGCCCTTAGGGCTAATTTGCATCCTTCTGTCTACATATTTGCACCCTAAACCCCAACAATTAATATTAGAATTTAATTAATTATTTTTAGGCAAGATCAACTTTTATGCTCCTCTGAAAACTTCAGGCAGCATTTCTGTTTAGAATAATGAAAATATTTCAACTGCGTCTATGCAAAGGTGCTCACTCCTAAACAGAAAGAGAGATCAATAACTGTAGATATGATACAAGGAAAGAGCAGGAAGAAAATTAAGGGGCAGTAAGGACAGACCTGCAATGCAGGATCAGAAGACATGAATATAAGCATGTAGGCCAGCAGTAGCAAACTTCTGGCACAAACACATTTGTCACCATCACCACCAAGAAGTCTCTTCGTTTTAAAAAGCATGTTTGGCATCAGACATCAGTGGTCCAGATAAACCTCACACTCCAGACAAATACTTCTTATCTTCGTGTTTTTAAACACACATACAAAAAGTAGAAAAGAATGAAAGAAACTGCTCAATGAGAAGTCTATTTGAAAGATATTAGGATAAAAATACCAAACACTATTCCTTATAACAAAGGGAGCGAGATCTACTCACAATATACTCAAAGCAGGCTACAAAAGAAATGTTTTAAATTTAACCCCAGAAAAGTTGATAAGATTAATTAATTTTGTATTTAGAGCATATTTTGATAATATCTTCTCCATTAGTGTGAGGACAGCTTTGTTTGTCAGGCATTTCTCTTATGCTTATCAATTAAAAAACCCAAATATTTAGTCTAACATTTCCTTTTATAGTTTAAACATGGAATTAGAATAAATTTTTGCTTAGTCAGCTTAGACCAAACGTCACTTGCTCTGCAATTTGATGGCTAAATTGTCAGCTCTTCTCCCATTTAAGAGAGAAAAGTATATCCCGTCATGTCAGTGAGTAGGCTGTTACTTATACTAGCTAACTATTACCTCATTGCTCAGGCTTACTGTATCTCATTTAAAAAATATTAATGTTTTAAAAGAAGAAACAAGAACAAGGAGATCTAGGTTGCTTGATCAAACTGATGAAACAGAATTTACTTTTGGAATTCAGCCCACTTCCCAAATGCGTGTTCTCTCTCCTTCTCTCTCTCTCTCTCTTTCTCTCTGTATTTATATACAGAAAAAGAAATGAAATGTTTGTAATCTCAATGGTATGCTGTAAGTTTTAAAATTTGGGTTTTTCTGCCAAGAACTCAAATAGCAAAGAAAAGAAAGCTATTTGTTTTAAAGGGAAGGAATAAGGGCAGGCAAAACTCTTAATACACATGCCAATCAGAACAGTGGCATTTCAGTAACTTTGGTATGACTGACATGTTTACAAAAAAACATAACAATGACTTAAATCCACACACTCTAGCTAATAACTTTCAGCCAATTAAGAGTAATTTACACAGTATTAAGATCAGAAATTATTTTACATTGAATCAAGTTAGTCTATAAGCAAAAAGCAAGAAAAGTGACAAATCAAGAGAGGAACTCTTCAGCAGTAACAGAACATCATCCTAATACTGAGGCATGCCATTTACCACACTAGAGCAATTGCTTTATATAGTCCTACAAAGAGGAGTTTTAAAAAAAAAATTAGAAAGGACTGAAATTCGGGGGGCGGGACACACAGGATGGAACACGGCGACAGGAGAAGCATAATTTTATCCACAATTA